AAGTAACAAATGTAAAGATTTGTTTTATTTCTACTGGGGAAGGGAGAAGGATAAATAGAACTGTTTTCCAATTTTCTCTCCACTGTATACATACATACTGACACGCATACATACACATACATACACCAAAAGTACTCCAACAAAAAATAAAACAAAAAACCCCCAAGAATCAAAACCCAAAACACCCTCAAACTCCCCCAATACTTCAAATTTTGACTAAAAGAACAGATCCTGGGAGGAAGTGCAAAATGCAAAATCAAATGACCGAAAAATGCTGAACAAACAGCATTATTAATATACAAAATATTTATATTACTGAACTAGTAACAGGTGATGTTCTCCGTGTCTGTAAAACTTTGGAACCACATAGCTGATTTGTTAAATCTAGTCCATGCCAGCTTCCAAAATTCAGAAAAAATTTTAGTTAGCTTCATTCTTTGATGCCTCATCAAAGTTTTCTACAAGATCTGGAACGTCATCATCTTCCTCATCAATGTCTTCTGGTTTTGGTGCTTTGTTATCCAGGACTTGCTGTGGGAACTGTTCAGCTAACTTCCTAAGACTTGTTAAGCTGTCAGCACCAAGCTGACTTAATATTCCAGGAAGCATTTCTGTAATTGGTTTAGCTTCTGCATGACCAGTAATTGCAAAGGTGGTAGCAGAGAGGGAAGCTTGGACTTTGGGATTGTTGAAATGAATAACTGTCCCATCATCTTTAATCATGTTCACCTCTTCAATACCAGCTATATTGTTCACGGCCAGTTTTTTAATAGAACTCTGAAGCTTTTTGTCATCAGCTGTAGCTGTTCTATGTACCACCTTCTTCTTTCTGCGAGCTGTACCCTTGCCCCCTATCCAGACCTGAGCCTGAAGTTTGGCTAACTTTTCTTGATTCATGCTGTTGGTAAATCTGAAGTGGAAGGGTCCTCCAACACCAGCACGCGGCAAGAGCAAGATCAGGTGACCAGATTTTAACATTGGTAAAGCGGGACACCATTGACTGGGGGGTGGGGGTGGGCGGAGCCTGGGGGGGCGGGGCCTGACAACAATGCAAACTTTGATAAGCAGTTTGCGATAATCAGTTCTGAACAATTATTTGTTATTATTAAAGTTTAACATTATAAAATTAACAAAAATAATACAAAACTCATATCCTGGCGAAACAGCCACATGGCAGCCGAAAACCGTATATTCCCTTCCTGTTCTCCCGTGTTCCCTAGCTTGTCATGCATTCTTTCCAAAAATCGGGACTTTCTAAAAATGCAGTGGGATGCAGGACAAATTGTTAAAAATCGGGACTGTCTCGCCAAAAGCAGGATGTCTGGTCACCTTACATTTGGATCCTTCCCCGAACAGCAAGTGGGATGCCTATGCACCAACTGCCCAACTCAGGGTGGCCTTAGTGTTTCCCACTTCAGTACCTTCTTTTGCTATTATGACCATGGAAAATCAATAAACTAATCTCTGCTTTTGAGCATTTTTTACACGTTTCAGGAACTCTTAAGTGAAGCCATGAAATGAAGAGATGAAGTTAATTTGTCAACAGCATTGGCCCCCAAGGAAACATCTAGTCTAGTATCTAAACTCACATGGTACCCTGCAAAGGCAGAAGGTGGGGTTGGTGAATTTTTCAGTTTGTTTTTAGCTCTCCTCTTTATGGCATAGTAATGCTCATTTTTGTAAAAATGAAGGCTAACAGAAGAAGGCAATCATTTCTGACATGATTAATTGTGTTGAGATAACAAGGACCTTGTCTGTGCTACAGTTACAGACTCTTGGGCTGCACCAGTGTCTTCTAGAGCTAAGGTATTGTTTTTCTGGCTGCCCAGATCCCTGATGACAGCCCCACTATCAGACCACACATGGAGGGACACGATGTGTCCCTATGCCTAGGCTTCAAGCAGATGAGATGCCCACCCATCTGTCCTCAAGTACCTGCATAACAGACCAGAACCTATAGCTTCTGAGGGGTGATGAGTATTTTCAGACTCAATTTTGACTTCTGTCTAGATACCTTTTATATCCTTATTGGTTCACATTTGTTTATTAATTTGTGCTGAGAGATTAAGATCACTTAAGTTGGATTTGTAGCTCTGACCTGCTCATGCTGGTAGGAGAACCATATTGGAGTAGGAAAAAACCACTATGCCCAGAGCCTGGAAGGAAAAGGTGAAAGAAAAGAGTAAAACTTGAAGTCTTCCTCCAGATATTTTCTGCTCTGTATATTTTTCTCTTAGATGTTTCTACATATAATAGGGCAGATAAATTGAATTATATGAGGAAGGGACGTTCCAGAGGAGGGGCACAGAAAACAGGAAAGGGCCAAGTGAGGGCCTCCTGTGAAGTCTAAGGTGCCCATGCTGCCCTGTCTCAGTGATGCCTGGGGCAGAAGGCAGGGAAACAGGAACCACCCAGGTCCACCTAGAATAATCCCTCCACACATGTCCTGTAACAGACACAGAATCCTGAAAGTGAAGATAATGAGACAAAAACCCAATCAGCTCCTCTTGACCTCAGAGTCCTCAGAACTTGGGGTGAGGTTCCCAAGTCATGGTGCCCAATTTTTCTGCTATATTCTGGTTGATTAGTCTTGGTCAAAACTTCTTATCACAAAATCAACACTAGCATAAAATACTGTCACTAAACCCTCCTAGTCACTGATATTGGAATGCTGATGTGCAGGGATTATTGTTTACTTCTACAGCAGATGTGCGTAGGATCAACAGCCCCTATGTGCTTATAGCAGCCACTTCCCCTCGATATCTCTTTCAATTTCAAAGTGGTCAGGGAAGAGAGGGGCTTGACTGGCATTCCACATCCAGGGTAACAGAAAAGTGGAGCAGGGATATTTACTTACATGTAGAGCAGCACCAGGCTGGCAGCCAGGAGAACCCAGGTTTCCATGGCAAAGTTGAGGATGACATCCATCCCCACTTTCCCTCCTCAGTTCTCTCCTCTGAGTTATTTTCTCAGCTTGTGCTGCTCTTTACTGGGCTGGGCAAGTACAGCTTCCCTTCTTTGCCCAACTGGAATGTTTATAGGCTGGGAAAGGAGGTGGCAAGTGGAGCTGCAACCAATAGCAGTGCCTCCTGTGCCCCACCTGCATTAGAGGAAACTTCTCCATCTTCTCACTTGGCAAAGCATCACGGATGCTCTTATACTGACCTTTTTTGAGTTCATATTCCTTAGGAAATCATTAACAATGCAATCAGTATTATTGGTAAGTCCAAAGTTTATGGGATTTTAAACAATGTCACATGCAGACATTAACATAAAATCTCTTTGTAACCTGCCATCGTCTCTATGGATGGTGTTAGTCTAAAATACTTGAAATCCACTATGAGACAAGCTACACCTACAGCTCTTATCTACACAGTTTCCTCTGCCTTCACTGACCCTGTTCCCCCTAGAGGACTCCTACTCATGCTTTAAATCCAAACAGGCTCTTCTGTTATAGTCCTCTCTTCCCAACCTCCCCACATAACTGTAGGCCTTTCCGTCTCTGGGCAATCCTATCCCATTCTGCAGTTCTGCTATTGTCCCCTCTACCCTTTGTCTACTGTGGACATCGAGATCTGTGTCCCTCACCAGAGGGTGAGCTTCTCCAGGGCACAGCCAGGACACAGTCTGGTATTATTCATACCTGTGTCCCCAGCCCCTAGCAGAGTACTTCACATACAGGGAGCATCCAGAGAGGCTGGTGGAGTTGAGCTGGGTAAGACTCCTGGGCGAGACTGCTAGGCCCCTGTGTATCCCTTCCTCTGACTCTGTGGTGACATGCCATCTTTCTGGATTATTAACATGGCAGGAGGGCTTGGCTGTGTCTCAGCTGCGTCTCTGCACATTGATGCGGAACTGCTATGACTCTGTAGGCAAGAGGGCTCTTAAAGGAAGGCTGGGGTGGGCAAGATAGAGCTAATGGCTGCACAAACAGGGTTATTCCTCCTGCTTCCTGCAAATCATTAGGGGGTCCTGCAGTAGACAGAAAGCTAGACAGGTTCTTGAATAATGGATGAGCCCTCTCTCTTGAACGATTGCAGGTCAGTAAACAATGGGTGTGAGGAGAGAGAAGAGGAGAACAGCAGCCCTAGTGGTCAGGTGGACCTCAAGCATTGCCACCAACAGTGATGGGGTAGAGATCACTACAGGTACACACAGTTTCTAGGGTTCCAGAAAGATGATCTGAGTCTTTTGATGTGGGCAGTGGGTTCAAAGCAGATGGCTTCCTCTTTTTTGTGGAGTGGAGGGTTTTCTAATAGAGTAGAACAGGTCTTAGGAACTGGCAAGGAGGAGGCCTATAATAGTGACAGTCACTGACACCTGGGAGCTCCCAGAGGCATTCCTGATGGAAGAGATGAGAAATGAGCTTGCAGAAATTTATCAGTTCATTATCATTACACAGCCCCCCATTTGATGTCTGGGTGACCTAAAGATCCCAGATTAAGTGATAAAACCTCAAAGCTCTTAAAACTCAACAAAAATAGAAGACCCTCCGGCTGTGCCTGTGTACTTCTTTAAGTTTTTTTTCTTTTCTATTCTCAGGCTTACTGCAGGAGCTGCTACTCACCCCTTGCCCACTCTTCCCATATCTTAGGCCTATAAGTCCCTGGAGAAGCTTGACACTGGCCTGAGCAGGCAGACATCTCATTTGTAAAATGTATTAAGGAACAATTCTCCTATTGCCTTCTTTTTGTTGTTTGAGAGCTTGGGTTGCTTGCCGGAAGACACCTGTTAAAATCCATAGTTGAGCCATATAGAGTTTAATTAACATATGAACCCAGCTCTTCATGCAGGCAGTGAGCAGGGAAAAATGGGTGAATTTCATGTGCAGGTTTTGCGCCAGCTGTGGGCTGGAACCCACCCAGGCCCCTTGCTGAACTCTAGCTTCCCTATGCAGTGAGAGAGACACATAAACTTGCTCTGAGAAACATATTCAGAAGTGGTTTTTCAACTGGATTATAGAGAAAGGGTTTCTCACACATACACCCACCAACTCACACACCGACACACACACACACACACAGACCTTACCTCAGTTAGCGACAGGTAATATATATCATTCTAAGTACTTTTCCTACATTAACTGGTTTGATCTGTCCCACAGTCCTATGACATTGGTATTGTTATCACTCTTAATTTACAGGTGAGAAATTTTTTAACTAACCCATCTAAAGTTACATCAATAATCACTAGCAGAACCAGGATTCACATTTAGATTCTCCAGCTTTAAAGCCCAAGGCCTTATTCTTCAACACAGGCTCAGCCTTGGCCAAGGCTACACTGAATTCCACTGGGACCAGCATTGTAGCCCAGGCCTTCTACATGGCAAGTGATCAGAGCTCTGCCCCCCACACAGAGACAAGCTGAGACTCGATAGAAAACTCATCATTGAGCAATGGGGTAAGGCAGAGGAAGGTTCTTTCTATCTCCTGGCCTTGAAGTATAAGCACCTTGCTGGACTTTATGGCAAGGAAAGAGGAGGAGGAAGACTTAGTCATAGCTGCTCACTTTCTACTCCATTTCAGAGCGTCTATGTCTTGCTAAACTAACGACTAACATCTCCATGGCACTTCATGGTTCATAAAGTTCTTTGCCATGTCTCTTAGTTGATTCTCACAACAGCTCTGTGAGATAAATGGGGCTGGGATGCTTTTAATTCCCACTTTCTAGTTGTGGAAACAGACAGATGGGAAGAGACTTACCCATGTGGTTAAACCATGAAACCAGAGCATGGAGCCAGATCTTGTGATTCCAGATTGTGCCAGTGGCAGACTTGCTTGCATTGCAAGGGGTCTCCTAAAATACTTGATGGCCCATGCCAGCCCCCCATAAGGTAACTATTCCCTACCACAGCTTCCCACACTGCCATTGTAGGTAGAAAGTGCTACTTAACTGACTGTGATGACAAAAACAACATGCACAACATCTATATATTACTTGTGCATGCACTGAATTTGTGCTATTAGCAGAAATGGGGATGTTGCAAATAGTTCTGACATGTTGTAATCAGAATCATTTGGGTTGCCATGAAAACAGAAACTAAAAGGTCATAAAACCAATGAGGTAAATGAGAAATCAGAAAATATGAGGAAAGTTTCATAAGACTACACTGAGGGGAATTAACAAAATATAAAATCATTGAAAGAAGAGATAAACATAAAGATGAGTGTATTGCAATAGGGCAGCAAAGTTTGGACCATCTCACTCTCCTTGTTGCAGTAATCTCCCATCTTATTTTTGCTAACCCTGGACAGGCCTTTTCCAGGGAATGCCCTTCCCAGTCACCAGACAGAGCCACAGAGTACATGGACCTTGTGACAGTCCTCCTTCACTGAAATCCTTCCCACTGCCCCTATCATCCACAAGAAAAAATTGCAATGCTTATGGGTGGAACTTAACACCCACCACAGCTATCCTTTTCAATCCTGTCTCAGTCCACTTATTCATATATACATGATATTTTAAGCAAAGGAAGGATTTGCCACTTCTTAAGCTTCATAAGTGTGACATACTCATGTCTCTTTTTGGCAGCAAAGATTATTCTTTAGCCTGGAGAGGACCCAACCAATCTTCCTTCTGATAAATTTGTAAACGATATTCAGGAGTCAACCATCATCTGCCCTATGAGCCTCCTCCATAGCCTCAGGAGGCAGGTTGTGGGGAGGGTCTCTCTTGTGCATACACACAGTTCCTATGGATGAACACCCAGTGACTGTCAACCCAGGATGCAAGTTACAATGGTCGCGCATGGACAGCTATTAAAAAATACAGGCACTTGAGCCTACAAGAATATCAGAAAGGAGAGCGCTTAAGTAGGGGCATAATGACTAGATGATAGGGACCATTGAGGGTCACCTAGAGGCTGGGACTACAGAGGTGAAGCCAAGAGAATCCAAGTGTCACATCAATCCAGAGATGTGAAAAAGAGGGCATCACACATGAGAACAACATCCACACCCTCTAAAACAGTCAAAAGCCAGGTCAACAAAGGTAGATTACATACTAGTCTCATGAGCAAAAATCCTAACTAAATAGTAGCATACCAAATTCCACAGTGATCAAAAGATGAGACGCCCTGACCTCGTTGGATTTAACTCTGAGACTCAAGGGTGGTTAACATAGAAAAGTATAAATACTAAGATACTCATCAACAAATTAAAAGAGAAAGATTATGTGGACATTTTAATTGTTTCAGAAAAAAACATTTGATAATGTTTAACTTCCATTTATGGCACTTGAAAATCTTAAACTATTGATAGCAAGGAATTTCTTTACTCTAATAAAAATATCTACCAAAAAACATAAAACAAAATCATAGTTGACAATGTGAAAGCATTATGCCATTTTAATGTTTTACAATAACAATTGAAATCATTGTAGTGTTTTATCATATGCACATGTGACTTTTTCAAACATAGTAACATTTAAAAAATGATAATCCTACTAATTAAATTACATTTTGCTATAAATGAGGAAAATTTCATTACTTGCTTTTTTTTTTTTTTTTTTTTTTTTAGGAAACCAGCTTGTGGAACTCAAACTGAACAGGGAGCAAAGTATGAAAATCTCTGAAAACAAGTAAATATTTTTCTTCCTCATGAACCTGCTTGAATTGTCCTGATTTCAAAGGCACCAAGGGGAATGGGGCCAGCAGGTTGATTTGACTGAGGTCACAACCTGTAGTTCTTGACCTTCGGCTGGGACCATTGACTCTGACAATCAAAGTCATGAACAATCTTCCCTGAAGCACTAGCCTTTTTGAATTCAGTTTCGGGAACCCCAAGGAGATATGTCACTTTGGTGCCTGCCAAGGCTAGTGAATTTTTTCCAGGAGCCTAACCCAGCCAAGTTCAGTCTACCTCTGTCCTCCAGTAGATGCCCTATTTTAATCTGTTACATGGTTATCCCCAGAACTATGGATACCTCTACACTTTGAATTGGTTCTCCACTGAGACTGGTGGTACGACGCACCACAAGGGAACAGAACTATACAGCAAAGTGTGAACAAGATCATC